TTTTTTTTGTAAAATTCAATCTTTATTCAAAAACAAACAAAAAAATATTAATCAGCGAAATATTTCCCGTTTGCATCAACGATCTTTTGCCATCTTTCGAGTAGCTTGCGAATTCCTTGACGATAGAAGCTCACCGGCTTCGAAGCGATAAAGTCATCAATGCATTTTCGTATCTCTTCAAATCTGACAAAATGTGTATCAGCCAAATGATGCTGCAGCGACCGGAATAGATAGTAATCGGAAGGCGCCATGTCTGGGCTATACGCTGCGTGCGGGAGAAGTTCCCAGCCTAACGCAAAGATATGGTCCTGAGTCGCTTTCGCAACATATGATCGAGCATTGTTATGAAGCAAGATCACTTTACGACGTCCTTGGCCAGTAAATGGTCTCTTTTCTTCTAATGCATCGCTCAAATTGGTCAGTTGTTGTTGGTAGCGGTCTGCCGTGATTGTTTCACCCGGTTGTAACAACTCGTAATACAACACACCTTTCCAATCCCACTAGATACAGAGCAAAACCTTCTTGGCGTGGATATTGGGCTTTGGCGTCGATGTCGAAGGTTGACCAGGGTCAACCCATGATTTTCTACGTTTAGGATATCATAAAGAATCCACTTTTCAACGCCTGTAATGATTTTGTGCAGAAAATCTTTTTTCCGGAACTTTGAAAACAAAGTGAGTGCAGTGTCACGCCGACGATTTTTGTCTTCGGACAATTCATGCGGAACCCATCTGCCTTCCTTCTGAACCTTTCCCATCGTATGTAAACGTACGGAAATGGTTTGCTGCGTAACGCTAAACTGTTCTGCAAGCTGCTTTTCAGTTTGCGCAGAGTTTATATCCAGCAGTGCTTGCAATTCGTCCATTTCAATCTTTTGAGGACGTCCAGCACGCAGTTCATCTTGAAGACTGAAATCTCCTTGGCGAAATTTTTGATACCATCTTTTACATGTAGTATGACTTACAGCGTTCTCTCCATATGCAGCACAAATCATTGCAGTGGCTTCAGCAGCATTTTTCTTTAATTGAAACGCGAAGTGGATGGAAAATAGATACGCTCTTTTGTTATCGTGAACACTACTGATTTTTGAGGTTATGTGCGTCAAACGCCAAACCGTATGACATTTTAGAAGACCAAATGTCAACGCTTTAAAACCGCAAAAGGGCGGGAAGATATATAAAATTTAAATTGTTATTTCTGTTGTATGAAATCTAAAGCTCAGAAAAAAGCTTTTTGTACACCTAATATTTTTTTTGTCGATTATATTTTATGTCGAATGTTATAAAAAAGGTACACTCAAAGTAGATAGTTTATGATGTGACAAAGATAAGAAAATAATTAAAAGGAGAATATAAAGTTTTATTTTATAAAGAGTTATAAAAGGTTTTTAAATGAACTAAATTGTTATTTGAATAAAATTTGTATATCTATTTGTATATCTAGTATTTGTATATCTAGTATTTACTAGTTAAGATATAAAAATTATAATGCATTAAATCTAAATATTTATACATTATATTTTTCTAAATATTTATACATTATGTTTTAAATCTGTGAGAATTTAATATCTTTAAATGTGTAATTCGCATAAAATATTTAGTTAATAATTTACAATATGAATATATAGATAATAATGAAAAAACCTTATAGATAGGAATAAATTATAAAGATGGACATAGATATAGATGTATACTTATAGATATATACTTAGTATAGACAAATATTAATATATGATGTTTTTAAAATTATTTAAAAAGGTATATAATATCAAGAGTTGCATAGCATCTGAATATTTATAGCTTTGATTACTAGAGATAAAATAACACTATTTATATTGCTTCTTATTAGAACTTACCTGTAACATAATAGACACAAACATGAGTCACTCAGAAACAAACTGTCAAATTCACCGCGAAACTCAACATCGTTGACCATTAATCAAACACGCGGAAAAAGAGCAAGCATACTATCTCGCTCACTCTTTCGTTTTCTACTTTCTTACTCTCGTTATGCGTATATCTGCAAAGACTGCGGAATCTTGAATTCGATAGAAACCTTTTATTAATAATCAGTCAATCTGAATCATAGATAAGGAGCAGAGACTGTAATTAAAGATATATTTCCCAATTTTTCACAAAACATATTATCTAATGATCAGCTGAATAAGATTAATAATGATAAATATGCGCTTATCAAAAGAGATATATTAGTAGTAATTTAAAAACATTTATAAGTGGATTATGACTGCAAGTAATTGTACGAGAAGAATACTCGACCAATTACTTAGCATAATTTATAATTCAAAGCACAACATATTATGAAATATATGTTTATATAGATATAAAAATCGGTACGAACGATCAATATAACGAAAATGTAATATTTGCATTTCTTTCTAAATTAGAGAAAGAGAGAAGAAAGATGAAACAAATAAAAAGAATTAATATGTTTATTATGTTTATATAAATATTTTCTCTTTTACTTCTACACGTTATTTCACGTTCAATTATATCATTTTTATACACATATACCTTTAATTGTAAATGTAATTCTACTATCTTACTTACGATACAAGAAATTAATTTTATTTGCATATTACAAATTTATAAATGCGCGGAAAACTATTATAATAAATCTTCAAACTCACAATAATAGTTGTAATTTTACATATAACTTTTTATAAAATGTAAAATAGAAGAATTATTACGCAATCATAATTAAATATAATAATTTAATTATTGATTTAATTAATTATTT